TCCCGAGTGCTGGGATTAAAGGCATGTGCCACCAACACCCAGCTATATTTTATACTCTACTATACAGCTATTTTTATAAGAATAAAATTGTCTTACATTCTAAATTGGAGGGCAAAATTAAGTGATTTTTACTGATGAGAATACTATGTCTAAAGTTTTAAGAGATATGAAAGCAAAGTTAATTAGAACGGGGCATACTTTCATGGTTCTCAGGACGGATCCATTTCTTGTTAGCTTTTTTGGTGACTTTGCCCAGGTTTCCTTTAGCCTTTCTTTTGGGTGATACTGGAGCTGGGGATACTATTCCAATCACAATTCTTCCTAAAATTGAACAAAAACGGTAAAAATAACAATCCTGGGGAGTTCAAAAATTAAATATATATTTCCTTTCAAAGTCCCAAGGGAAATGCTGTTACTACATGTTACAGCTGTTAAAGTGACACAAAGGTGAAACAATTCAATTGTATCACTAAAGACTCTAAATCTAGAAACACTGATGAAACAAGACTCAATAACCTAATATTGACTTGAAATCAGTAGTTGTCAATAAAGGGTTAAAAACAAAAAAGAAAATGCTGTAGAAACTAGAAACCAGTTTGAAGGAACAAGTCACATTTAAGAGTCCTTTAAAATAACTACATCCATTTAAATAGGGAAATAACTTTTAACACTTAGTTCCTTGTTAACTCTCTATAAAGAGAATTATATAAATAAGAATAAGAAAGATACCATCTTTATCTGATATTTTCTCGTATTTTAGGCTGAAAGGGCAGTTCACCAGTTTATACTGCTCTTATAAAGGACCAGAGTTCAATTCCCAGCACACATGATGTGTGACTCATAACCATTTTGGTCTCTCCACCTCCAGGGGTATCCAATGATTCTTTGCCCCTGTGCACATCCTCACACCCACCCAATACATATAATTTAAATACAAGTTAAAAATGATTCACTTTACATAGTCAGAAATCTCAGATATTTAAGTGACAGTATCTACAAAGTGACACAGTCAAATAACTAGTTACAAAAAAGGAGAAAAAAACCAACACCTCTAAAATAATAAAATAATAAATTAAAATCCTATATTTAGATGTTTGTATGTGGGGGGTAATGATTAAATGAGGTAATGTATATAAATGTGTAGGATGGTGCCTGTCAATATGATAAAATTAATTAGAGCAATAATTCCTTCATTTATAAGACATCATCATCTAAATGAAGTCTTACCTGATGGCCTTTCTTGATAATCTATCCGTTCCCCTCGCCAATATTCCAGAGGTTTCAAACGTATTCTCTTTGTTCTACGAACATTTGGTGAATTAGACGGCAGTACTGTCAGAAAGTTAAATAAAAATTCAAAGGTGAGCATGGCGTTGGTGGTGCACGCCTTTAATTCCAGCACTCGGGGGGATCTCTCTGAGTTTGAGGCCAGCCTGGTCTACTGAGCGAGTTCCAGGACAGGCTCCAAAACAATACATAGAAACCCTGTCTCAAAAAACCAAAAAAAAAAAAAAAGGTGAGTAATCTTAGTAAAGATACACACCAACACTTAGAACATAATGTTTCAATGATAAGATAAAAATCCCCAAATTTTCAGATGTTTGTGCAAATAAATTAAAGTCCATGGAAAATAAAACCTCTAGATTGGACAAGAAATAAAAATTTGATAATACTCACATGTGAGAATATTAATAGTATTATCTTATCTGATCAATGCTACACTTCATTACTAAACAGAATCTGTTGTTATAATTTGAGATTCTATTAGTTTATGACTCCTGCTAACCTGCAGAACCACTTCTATCAGGGACCCTCAATCACAATACTTAGCTAGGTCCCAGGTGGATGAACTTTATCATCCTTCCTTGCTCTCCATCCTGTCTCTCTAGACCAACATTTAGGCCTGTTGCAGCCTGCCCACCAGAGTAATGCCTCTTAGCCCATTTCCAAGCCCTTGGGAGGACTCTTGATGCAGAGTTCTTCCTCACCACACTTCTCAGCCTTTCCTTTTATCCATTCCTTTGTGACTTCTCACTGACCAATAGAACCAGGGACCCCACAGTCACCACACTTAGCTGGGAATCAGGGACTCCAAATAAACCATGCTTGGCTAGGAACCAGAATGGCCAATAGCAACCAAGACAGAACACCCACCACATAACAAAGAAAAAACGAGGTATCTATGTCAAGAATCACTTCAAAAGTCATTAACTTCAGAAACCTAGATCCCAGGACATAAATAAATAAATAAATAAATAAATAAATAAATAAATAAATAATCAAGACAACAGATGCCTCTTTCAGAAGCTAGCAACCCTAGCAACCCTACAGTAATAGGCCCCAGGGAAAGCATTTAAACAAATATGTTCAAAGACATTAAAGAGGACATGAATAAAGATGATGAAAGCATAAACAATTGAATGAAATAATGAAAACAATTTAAGACATGAAGGTATAATTTGACAAAGAAGAACAACTAAAGAAAACTCAAACAAAAATAAAACTTAACTAAAAAGCTTAGAATGCCGAACAAAATCCTCAGAAGTAAGCCTCACCAATAAATACATGGAAAAGAGAGTCTCAGGTGATGAAGAAAAAAACAGAAGAAATAGCTCAGCCAACGAAAATGTTAAAATCTAAAATACCAAGGCACAAAACATCCAGGAAACACGAGACACTACAAAAAGACCACATATATAGAGGAAAGAGATGAAACCCATGTCAAAGGCATAGAAAACATTTTTAATGAAATCATAGAAGAAAATTTCCCCAATTTAAAGAGAAATACCTATCAAGGTACAAGAAGCATATAGAACACCAAATATGTGGGACCATAAAAGAAATTCAAACCAGAAAACCTAAAAGAAAAGTTCTTGATATATACAACCTACCAAAGTAAAACTGAAATGAAACTATTTAAACAGATACATAACACCAAGTAAAATACAAGTAATAATTAAAAGCCTCACATCCAAATAACAACAAAAGCCACAGAGAAATGGATACAGAATTCTACCATAAACTGAAAGAATGAACACCAATATTCCTCAAGGTAATTAATTCATCCTTCAAAGCCAATATTACTCTGATAACCAAAATTATAGAAAGACCCAACAAAGAAAAGAAAATCTCCTTTATGAATACAGCTGCATAAAGTCTCAACAAAATACTGGCAAACCAAATTCAAGAACACATGAAAAAGAATATCCACTATAACCCAGTATATTATTCATCCCAGAGATGTTGGGATGGTTCAACATATGTAAATCAATAAATGCAGTCTACCACACAAACAGACTGGAAGACAAAAATAACAAGATCATCTCATTACATGAAAAGGAGTTTGACAAACATCTAACATGACAAAAATTGGGGAGATAGTAACAACACAAGGGACATACCTCAACATAATAAAGCCAATTAAAAGCAGGCCCACAGCCAAAATCAACCAAATGGAGAGGAGCCCAAAGCATCTTCACTAAAATCAGGATCAAGACAAGGATGTCCACTCTCCTCATACCTACTCAATATAGAACTTGACATCTTAGAAATAAGAAGATAAAGGGGATACAAATAGGACAGGAAGAAGTCAAAGCATCTTTATTTGTAGATGCTAAGACAGTATACACAAGAGACCCTAAAGATTCTACCAGGAAACTCCTACAGTTGATAAACAATCTTCAGCAAAGTAGCAGAATATAAAAGTAACACACAAAAATCAGTAGCTTTTCTATATACAAATGAAAAAAAGGACTAAGAAAGAAATCAGGAAAAGAGTGCTTTCCACAGTAGCCTCAAAAAAAAGAAAAGAAAAGAAATTGGGGATAATTAACTAGGCAAGTCAAAGACAATGCAAATTTTAAGACATTGAAGAAAGAAACAAGACACCCGAAGATGGAAAGGTCTCCCAAGCTGATGGGTGTGTATAATTAATATGAAAGGGACTATTCTACCAAAAGCAATCTATATTTTCAATGCAGTCTCCCTCAAAATTCTAACACACTCACCAAAACAAACAAACAAACAAAACAAGCTAATGAACAAACAAAAACCCAGGATAGCTAAAAGAATCCTGAATAATAAAAGTTATGGAGCTATCACAATCCCAGACTTAAAGTTGTACTACGTTAATAAACACACCTTGGTATTGGCATAAAAATAGATATATCGATCAAAGGAATCAAACTGAAGATCCAGCCATCACTCCATTCACTTATGGACACCTGATTTTGACAAGCCAAAAAGCACACAATGGGGAAAAGACAGCATCTTTAGCAAATGGTGCTGGTTATACTGGATAGCTACATTTAGAATGAAAATAGATCTATCTCTCTCACCCTGTACAAAATTCAACTCCAAATGTATCAAAGACCTCAATACAAAACCAGATACCCTGAATCTGACAGAGAACAGGGAAATAAACTTGAACTCATTGGCATAGGAAAATACTTTCTGAACAAGACACCAAAAGCATGGGGATTAAGACTATGGTGGTTTAAATGAGAATGCCCTCAAAGGCTCATAATTCTTGAATGTTTGGTTCCCAGTTGGTAAACTGTTTGAAAAGGATTAGGAGATGTGACCTTGTGGGAGTAATTGTGTCACCAGGTATGGGTTTTAGGTTTCAAAAGCCCATGCCAGGCCATCTTTCTCTTTCTCTGCCTACAGAATTTGGATAACAATGTAAGCTCTCAGCTACTGCTCCAGCACCACTCTTGCCTGCCTGCCGCCATGCTCTCCAACACAGTGGAAATGGACTATCCCCCTGTAATAAAGCACTGTAAACAAGCCCCCAAATAAATGCTTCCTTTTATAAATTATTTTGGCATTGGTGTTTCATCACAGCAATAGCACAATAGCTAAGCCAAAGACCAACAATAAATGAGTTCTCATCAAGCTGAAAAGCTTCTATATGGCATAGGACACCATAATTTGAGAACAGTGGTAGTCAATAAAATGGGAAAAAAACTTTTTTACAAATTATGCATCTGACAGAGGGTTCGTATCTAGAATATATTAAGAAATAAACAACTGAACATCAAGAAAACAAATTAACCCAACTTTAAAAATGAGGTATACAACTAAACAGTTCTCAAAAGATGAAACACAAATAGCTGAGAAATTATTTTAAAAAGGGCAAAATCCCTAACAATCGAGGAAATACAAACTGAAATTACTTTGAGATTTCATAATATACTATGAAATTTTGAGAACTAAATATGTAATACAAATCTGGATGAGATTCCCTACTAAAAAAAATTAAGTTATATTTAGAGAGATTCAATAATACCATTTTCTTCAATGGAAATATTGTAAGAATAAAATATTTTACCTAATTTGTGATGTATATTTGTGTCTGGTAGCTCATTAGAAGTACTTATTCTTAAATCTGTAAAATATAAAAGGTAATATTATAAGCAATGCAACAATGCCTACTAATTCTATATTGACTTAAAGTATTATATGATCAGCTTTCACTAAGTATTACAAATAAGATTAAAACCTGAAAATACAATATATACTTTCATTTTTTCATTGAAAAAAATACAAACTAAGAAAAAAACTGCAAAACAACTCTTTAAACTTTGATACAATAAGCATATTTAAAGAGCACAACCATTAAAATTAATAAAAAAACAAACATTCTCTATTATTCATGAATGGCAAATAAGCCACTTAGCAAATTAAAATGCATGGCATAATGGTTAGTAAATAATATGTAATGTTACCTACAATATACCCACAACTTTCTTCTTAAAGTTCTAATAATAAAATCACTCCAGGTTCTCAATTTAGCAATATGCTAAAACACCAAAAGATTTCTTTGTCATCAATTTTTTTCCTGTCATATACACAAGTGATCTTTATTAAGAATTAGTCCAATATTGTGCAGTGGCCCAAATTGTACCCTGAACCCACATTCCCAATCCCAAGATCTAGCCACAATCCAACATTCAGTGCCTAGGCCTATTCTGTTGCTCCCCCACCCCTAGTCCCATGTGCTATTCAACTTCCAGGCTAGGGCTAGGATGCACATATTGTGTACTACCCCAGCATCATCCATGTCCCTAATACTTTTCAACCCACCCACACCATATCCAACTTCCACATGCTATGCTCTGTCCCAGACTCTTGTGTTCACATAAGACACAGACAAGTGAAAGAAGTCCACATACCCACAAAATAAAAATATGGAAAATCAAAACAGTATGTTACCTCTCAAACCACAAGCCCTACAGAGGAGTTCTCAAAAGAAAATTATTTAGATGAACTCCAGGGCACATAGTTCAAAAGAACGGCAAAGAATTCAAGGAATTTAAAGAAGAAACAGCTCAATGAACTTAAAGAAAATAAATGCCTAAGTGATGCCCAATAAAACAGAAACATGAGGCTGACAAAAATGATGAAGACATCCCAGAATTCAAACATTAAATTCAATAAAGAGATGTATACTGAAGAGGACTCAAAATGAAATGAAGACGAGTTTAAAAAAAAAAAAAAAAACAACTTAATAACCCAGCAAGAAAACTTAGGAGAAATCTTTACCAGTAGAATGAATCAAACAGAAAATAGAATTATCAGAACTCAAAGATAAAGTAGAAGAATTAGACCACACAAGCAAATATGAAAAAAATAATAAAAAGAAAACTACAGGAAGGGAACATGCAGAAATTGTCGGACACTATGAAAAGACAAATTATAGGCATATATGAGGAATAAATATCCCAAGTCAATGGAATAGACCAGATCTTTAACAAGATAATAAAACAAAATGTCCTAAGAAACTAAGAAAAAACATACCCATATAGATACATAGCTAAAACACTAAGTATGCAGAACAGAGAATATTTAAAGCTCCATGAGAATAAATACAGTTAAATAAAAAAAAAATACACATAAAGAAAACACATCAGGGCTGGAGAGGTCCTGAGTTCAATTCCCAGAAACCACATGGTGGCTCACAACCATCTGTTATGTATACATAATAAATAAATAAATTCTTTGAAAAAAAAGAAAGAAAACACATCAGAGTGAGTGCTGACTTCTCAATGGAAATCGAACAGCAGAAGAACTACAAGTCTTAAGAGATCGTGAGTGACAAAGTAGACTATAGCACCCAACAAAACTAGCAGCCATAGTATAAGAAGAAAAATGTTCCATAATATAAAAAGGCTAAAAGAATCCATGTCCATCAAACCAGCTCTAAAGAGAATACTGGAAGCAACACTTCTATTTCTAAACAGAGAGATATGCATAATTAAGAGACTATAAAAAAACAAAACAAATAGAAGTATAATTACTGAAATACAAACTACAACTAGAAACAGCAACAGAGAAGGAAAAAAAAAACAAAGAATGAAATCACCACAAACCTTTTAACAACAACTATTTATGGTATTTATGGTCTCAACTCTACAATCGAAAGACAGGCTGGCTGACTGGACTATGAAACAAACCCCAGCTTTCTGCTTTCTACATGAAACTCTACAGTCTTCAGGAACTAAATCAAAATGAAACCGTGGGACACATTGAAAGCAGACCTACAAGGGAAATTTATAAGTGCTCACATTTTGAAATAAAAAAGAGCACAAATAGCTTAATGATACAACTCAAACCAGAATAAATCAAGTCTATGGCAAGAAACAATATAAATAACAGCTGAAAATAATGAAATAGAAGCAATGAAAACAATACAAAGAATTAACAAATATAGGAGCTGGAACTCTGAGGAAATAACATTCACAGACTCCAGACCAAACTAGCCAAAAAAAAGAGAGTACCCAAATTAACAAAATCAGAAATGAACAAGGAAACATAACAGACACCAAAGATATTAGGAATATTATAAGTGAATACTTTAAAAAAATACTCCATTAAGTTGGAAAATCTAAAATAAATGGACAAATTTCTACATTTATCCAAATTACGAGGGAAAGGGAATTATGAAATTATATTTCATCTTTTTTAAATGGCAAAAAAAAAAGCCTTAGCAAGTTTCGTTTCCTTCTTGAATTTCTGCTGGCCAGAGTGATTTGGTATACTAATTGAACACACAAAAATTACTTTATGTAATAATGTGGTTACATCCAAAATCCTAACAAGATATGTAAATTTTATTAGGGGATCAAACTTTGGGGAGAAGACAATAATACTATCAACTACCCAAGATTGCCATGCTTTCAGGAAACCTAAGACAGCCACATGAAAAGGCCATACAAGGGAAAGATTCTGAAACAGCTCTGTGTTCTGTCTATCCAAGATAGGTGCCAAACACAGAAGTGAGGAACTCATTTTGAATATCTAGTTCAATTAAACTTGCAGAAATTGCAGGTAAGTAGTTCATATCTAACTATTAAATCATAAACGTATCCTCCTAAGAAATGCCTAGACAAATCAAGTCTATTACCAGAAATATGTAAAATAAATCAATAGCTATATTAAGTTACTGAGGTTTGAGGTAACAATGAAGCAATAAATGGTTGGAATACTTCATATTCATGAGCTCCTTATGTTGACTGTAATATATACATTTTCCTAAAAAGTTGGTCCAAACTTTCAGAAAACAAAATATTGTTTAAAACTACTAAATCAGCTGGGTGTTGGTGGTGCACGCCTTTAATCCCAATGCTCAGGAGGCAGAGGCAGGCAGATCTCTGTGAGTTAGAGACCAGCCTGGTCTACAGAGCAAGTGCTAGGCCAGGCTCCAAAGCTAGAGAAACCCTGTCTCAAAAAACCAAAAAAACAAACAAACAAAAAAATCTTACTAAATCAAATATAGAATTTTTTGAAGGAACTTTAGTGTCCATAAAACTGAATTGCCCTGTACTAAATAAATATGTGGAGATGAAAAGCAGATGAGTGTTTGCCCAGGCCTGAGAGGAAAAGAGAAGGTGGCTGGTTAAGGATATGGCATTGGAACAAGGCCAGTGACAATGATAAAATATTCTAAAATCAACTGCAATGATGACTACATACCATTGACTTATAAGTTAATTATGACATGTGAAGTTTACCTTTAAAAATTAAACTGTTATCACCTCTACTCCAATCCAATTCCCCATGTAATCGGCATGTAAGTAGATACCTTAATCTTTGCTAAAAAATTTCCCACAGCAGTGAGCCTTGAAGGCATCTGGTAGATAGATAATTGAATGCATTGATAATAATGGGAATGAGGTTTCTTACTATTTGAGAAAGAGCTTATACAATCAGAAAAGATAAAGTCTATATTATTCTGGAATTGAAGGTGTTGATGTAAATCTGTGGCTTCTAGATATAAACATATATAGTAGTTGTGTTGGACACAGGTTAGGGTCATCTGGGAGGAAGGAATCTGAATCAAGAAAATGCCTACATAGGCTTGGTCTGTGGGCAAATCTGCAGAGCATTTTCTTGATTAATATGGGAGGGCCTCTGCATTAGCTCCTGCCTCTAGGTTTCTGTCCTATTTGAGTTCCTATCCTAACTTCCCTCTGAGATGAACTATGATGTGGAACTATATGCTGAAATATACTTTTTCCTCCCCAAGTTGCTATTGTGTTTTATCGCAACAGCAAAAACCTAACATAGATGATAACTGCTATATATAATCAGTCTCAGAGTCTCAGTCACTCTCCTTCCCTACTCTGTGTGTGTGTGTGTGTGTGTGTGTGTGTGTGTGTGTATGTTTTATTCTATCCATTCAGAAAAGAAAAAAAAAAAAAAAAAAACACTGGTCTTGGACTCTAAATGCCATGGGCCACCAAATGAATCAGACGTTTTCAGAGAAACAATTGATTCCAGAATTAAAAGCACATTTATGGAACAACTTATGTCCCCCAACTCCCAATGACAGAAATGACAGATTCATGACAAAAGAAGGAACCAGCTAATATAACAGTAAATGATGAGCTCTATCACTATTTGAGTATTAGAATAAATGATAGGTAAATGTTAAAACACCACAGAGTAAAAACTAAATATTTTTCAAAGATGATGCATTAAATTTAAAAAGTAACAATTCGGTCTTCTGTTTCTAAGATATTTTTACTTCTCTAACAAAGTTTAAATAAGAGGCCGAGAAGATGGCCATGTAGATAAAGTATCAGCTATGTAAGTATCAGGACATGAGTTTGGATTCTCATCACCCACCTAAAAGTTATTTACTGATCAAAGGCATTGGGGGACATAGTGCACAGGTATACCCCCAGACCTTGCTGGCCAACCAGTCTAACCAAATGAGCAAGCTTCCAATTTAATAAAAAATAAAATAAAAAGCCTGTCTCAAAAACATGTAGAAATAGAAGAAGCTATTCCAGCATCAACCTGATCTGTACATATGCATCCACAGCTGCATAGATCACACATACAGAAGTGCACACACAAGAGAGAAGGAAGATGATGAGAGAGGAGGGGGAAACGGAGGTGTAATGAGATATTCACCACCACCACCATCCCCACCTATAGTGTTGACCACTCCCATTTGGTTGTAGTCACAGGTGTAGACATGTCCGGTTAAAAAGACTGAATTGGGGTTGGGAAGCCCCTTCTTCGGGTCTTGGAGAGCATCTGGGTGGCAGAGTCTGCATGCTTAGAGCGGGAGCCCACAACTGTCATTTGTTTCCTGTGTAAGTTATTTTTAATAAAGTCCACTTCATCTTACTGGTCAAGCATCCTGATTTCTAAGCACAATATCTGGTGCCCAATGTGAGGCTCAACCCCATGACCCTGAAATTAAGAGTCTCATGCTCTACCGAACTTTGGATAACTGTCCAGGCAGCAAGATGTCTCTGTCAATTCTAGAGTTTATATACTATCCTTCTGTGGTCTTTGATGGAGTTGAAGACAGATAGTTATGGTTATGGTTTCATTAGTTATGATAATAGTTAAGTTATATATAAAACTTTAGACTCACAAAGACAGATGATAGAATATTTTCTTTAAATCTTACTGAATGTTAATGGACTAAATATTGTAAACTATAGTTCTTACTTGATAACTGTTTGCTATATGTAATTTTACTATGTTAAAGTTGAAACCCTTCTTTTTATTAGACAGAAAGGAGGAGATGATGGGGAATGTTCTTCTATGCATATGTCTGCCTTATTGGTTGATGAATAAAACACTGATTGGCCAGGCAGGATGATAAGTAGAACTAGGATATGAGGAGGATTCTGGGAAGTATAGGCAGAGAGGAGTCATCATGAGATCCCAGGAAGTGACATAGCTGGGCAGAATCAGAATATAAGCAAGGACAAACAGGAAATCGCGCTCTTCTCTTCTCTGTGGACAAGCTGAACAGTTGACATGTAGGACGCCAGAGGAGTAACAGGTCTCTGGACGTTTCTCCAGTAACACCATGTGGAAATACATTGATTAGTAGTTATAGATTAATAATTAAGAAGCCAGGCCAGCGGCCAACAGCTTTATGATTAATATAATGTCTGCATGCTTCTTTGGGGGCAGAGAGGGGAGGGGAGGGGAGGGGAGGAAACTACACAGAGAAACCCTGTCTCAGAAAAACCAAAAAAAAAAGAACTGGGCTGGAGAGATGGCTCAGTGTTTCAAGGCACTAGTGGCTCTTCCTGAGATCCTAAATTTATTTCCTAGTACCATGAGGCAGCACACAGCCAGCTGTAACTGTAGTCCCACATAATTCTCATAGAATCTGATGCTCTCTTCTGGTCTGCAGGCATATATGCACACAAAACACTCATCTATATAAAACACATAAACAAATAAATTAAACAAAAAGAAACAGAAACAACAGTCTGCCAGTTCTAGTGATGTAGGACTGCAATTTCACCTACTCCAGAGCCAAAGAGTCAGGCTGCAAGGTCAACAAGGTGATGTTAAGGATATAGATCCATGGTAAAGTGCTTGCCCAGCATGCACAGGGCTTTGAGTTCATTCCTTAGCACTATTAAAAAAGAGAGGGAAGGAGGGGATTAAAGTAAAATTCATAAGATTGTTAGATTAAAATAAGTAAATAAATGCATTTACTTGTATCAAGAAAATTTAGTCAAAGCAGGCTACAGTGCACCAACAGGTATATATACAACAAAGACGCAGAATAGAAGGGGAAACCAACAGACATACTGCTGCAGTGAACATTCACTTCACTTCTACTAGTACTTAACAGATTGCTAGTCAAAAAGGATACAAACTACCACAATAATATCAGGCTTACCATGTCCAAATCTAAGATTCTGTTTCCCCTGCCTCCCCCAAATATCTGTTCCTCCTTTTGTCTCCAATTGGGGTAATAACAATGCTATTTTCTCAGATGCTTAGGCCAACAACCTTAAAGTTATTTCCAGTACCTTTTATTTCCCACATCTAATCCAGTCATCAAGAACTCCTCTTGACTCTGCCTTCCAAAATTTACTATCAATAAAAAGAAACCAACAACAAAAATACCCAAGCTTCTTAGACTAGAAGCTAATACTAATTGGAAGCAATACCAGAATTTTATACATGAGTGAACTGAAGTTACAAACACTGAATTTTTGTATTCGAGACAAGAGCTAATAAGGAGCAGAAGCAGATGTACTCCAAGGGCTAGACAGCAAGATCTTCTCTATGTCCTCCTTTACTAATTCCCCGGTAACAGAAAAATCTTTATAAATAAGAATAAATTACAAGAGGCTGGAGATAACCTAGGCATTAAGACCATTTATTGCTCCTGCAGTGGACCAGGGCTTGGTACCCACAATAGGTTACAACCATCTATAACTCCAGTTCTAGGGGATCTAATGCCCTCTTCTGACCTCAAAAGACACCAGGCACATATGTGGTACACAGACATACATGCAAACAAAACACTTATAAAATAAATACAGCTAAAAATCTTAATACTTTAAAAAATATATTTTAAAATAAAGAATTATTACAATAATACTATCTAAGAAACCTATTGAATCACATCAAAATTGTACTCAGGCAAATTCACTGCTTCTTCACCAAATAAAAGTAAAGAATATAGAAAGATTTAAATTTTAAAAAGAAATATATAAATCCAGAGATAGGAAAAAAGAAAACAAGAACCAGTGAATTAGGGGGGAAAAAGGTAGTATAATTTTATATTCAAAAAATGTATAAATCTCTATTGAGACATGAATTTTCAAAATTATTTAAAATAAAGGAAAACACTATAATGAACCCAATATACTGAACACCTACTATCAGTAACCATCAATATACAGTTAGTGTTGCTTTAAGTATTTCTTTATCAGTTTAGCAGATTTATTTATTTATTCTGTTGCATATGAGAACAGATAAAATCATTTCTCTCAGTCTACTGTGGTAGCTTCTAGGGAACTGAACTCTGGCTGTCATGCTTGGTAACAAGTGCCTTTACCCATCTGGACCATTTCAATAATTTCCAACTATAAAGCAGTGATCTCAGAAATAGATCCACATTTACTATTACTGAAAATTTAAATAAACACAGAATACCTTACTTTACATTCATAGTTAGAAACCAAGATAACAGAAAATAGTAACTTACCCAAACTCTCCTGTTCCTTTTCATCACTCACTCCAAAATTATTGCTTCCAGATAATACACAATCCTTGAACCTGGAAGGTCCACTTAAGAACAAAACAAACCATAAAATTTGTGCTTTTATAATTTAAATCCTTATGTATCTAAATTTCATGATCATGTCTTAAAACTGCCATCAGTTTCTTTCTTATGAAACTAAAAGTGATGCAACAGATCATCAAGAATGTATTTCCAGCTGGGCATTGGTGGCCTTTAATCCCAGCACTTGGGAGGCAGAGGCAGGCAGATCTCTATAAGTTCGAGGCCAGCCTGGTCTCCAGAGTGAGTGTCAGGATAGGCTCCAAAGCTACACAGAGAAACCCTGTCTTGAAAAACCAAAAAAAAAAAAAATGTATTTCCATGTAGCAGAAAGCAAGGACCATGCTTTGATCCCATTATTGAGTCAAATTTGATAAATACAAATTTATATTCAAGAGAGAGAGAGATAGAGAGAGAGAGAGAGGTAGCTCAGACCCTGAACCTTCTTATTGTAGCCTAAACTGGTCTAGAATTTGCAACCCACCTGCCTGAGAGAGAGAGAGAGAGAGAGAGGTAGCTCAGACCCTGTACCTTCTTATTGTAGCCTAAACTGGTCTAGAATTTGCAACCCACCTGCCTTGACCTCTTGAGTGTTAGGATTATAGGCATGAACTACTAAGCACAGCTAAAATGTTTTAAATTAATTCATGGATCAGTTATGAATTTAGTCAAGTCCAATAGCAACATTCTTTCACACAAATAAGAGAAACCAGCAAGCATATCCTAATTTTAAAAGAAACCATCTACAAAAAATGAAATTGAGCATGTAGTCCAAAAATCATCATAGCTGACTTAAACTATGGTAGTCCCAGGTTCCTTTCCTCCTCCAAGTCCTAATTATAATCTCTCAAACAGTAAAGAACCTATAGTCCTCCCTCAATGGCCAAGGTTTACTCTAATTTACTAGTCTTGCATTTTTAAAGGTTTTAACAGTTCATAATTAATACAATCAGGTTAATCTTACTTGTTCAGTGTTAGTGGATGTTTTAACAATACATCCACAAATTCTGTGACAATCTTTTCAAAAGACAAAGTCTCATATTCTTTTTCCTAAGTGTGGTATGGAATTGTGATGACTTGTTTCTGATGAACAGAAAACCATAAAAGTGAGTGGAGAACTCCAGAGGTTAAGTAATTAAAAGGCATTTGATTTTCCTTATGGTCACTTTTTTTCTCTCAGATCATTTCCTTTGTAGGAAATGAACTGCCACATGACAAGAAACAAAGGTTGATCACCAAAAGACAGCAAAGAATTACAACCTTCAATCAACAGTCACGTAAGCCATAAATGGATCCTCTAGTTGTATTCAAGTCATCAAAGGGATACAAAGAGAAAGACCCTCCCTACCCAAAACAGCCAGCTAAGCCTTGCCCCCCAAAACTATAATGTAATACACATCTACAAACCAATAACAAAAATAAATTCTATTTGTGAGTAACATAGAAATGAACACTAGTATAGTGAGTGACTTCTATTTTCACTACACGATATACACACCTTTCTTCCCAAATTGAATTTTTAGGCTCTCCTGAACCTGAATTAGACTCCATTGATCTAGTTGTATATTTCCCAGTATGAGACTTTAAATGAATATTCTGTGAAGTCATAATACTGCTTTGATGCTTAGAGCCTCCTGTAGGTCTACAAAAAAAAAAAAAAAAGTTAAAATTATCTTTCAAAAGTTCTTTTAGAAACAATATACAAATGTTTATACAAGTAATATAAAATTAGCAATAGATAACAAGTATCAGACCTTAACATTTACAGCTAGGTTCACAAAGGTATTTTAAGTCTACCAAGACTCCCAATTCAAAAATAAGTAAATAAATAAATAAACAAACAAACAAACAAACTGTACAAACCTGGCCTGAGAATAATAGAAAAGAGATGCTGAGTGACATTAGCTCTAACAGTCCATGACATATACTAGGCAACTAAATACCCATCATTCCCAATTTTACAATGAGGAAACAAGTTCAGTGTGGTACTGTACACCTAGGTGTCATCTAGCTAAGTGCACAGCCCAGATTTAATACCAGTTTTGACCAAGTCCTTTATGTTTATTCTCACTATGAATACTGAATAACACAGATAAACTACTAAAATCTCAATGAGGGAAGAAAAACAGCTATATTGTAAATACAACAGAAATTACCCAGAAATATTAAGACTTCTCTTCAGAGTTAGGTCTGCCTCGTTGTTTTCCAATGGCTTACTCTGGTTTCCAGAAATTTCATCATGACTACTAACACTTTCTCTAGAACCCTTAACGTTTAAAGACTTCTGTACTCTTGAGCTGTTCTCTGTCTTCTGTCTTTTTGATGGAAGAGGCTTTTTCCCAGCATTCTTAGATAACTGATTTTTCTTAGTCCGTTTTTTTCTATTGCGATGCACCACTAACGATTCATTTGCTCTTGAAGAACTTCTATCAACAGAACCTGAAAAGATTCAATGGCAATTTAAAATTAGAATGTCTCTTCAAATGATCTGGTTCATTGAAATATCAATGTCATTATATTTACATAGAAATATACATACCAATTTCATAAGCTAATTCTGTTTTCACATAAAAATTCTTGTATTTGAATTGTATTTACAGGACATGTACTAGACTTTTTAAATCCATCACAAACTTCCTTAACAATCTTTTCTCAGGCTCTGCTCATTACTCACCTGACTGTCTGTAAAGTGCTGTCAACTTAACAGAATCTAAATCTCCTAGGAGATGGGCCTCTAGGTATGCCTACAAAGAGGCTATGTGGATTGTGTTAACTAAGGCGAGAAGATCCACCTACACCCATGTGAGTGGCACCATAGCATCTTGTACTAAAATAGTACTCAAGTCTATCTATTATTTCATGAATTATTTTATCTATGCTGTCTTCCCTCATATAACATAAACCTTCTTAACTAAAAGAGCTTTGACTTTGGATATGTTTGTCCATAGCACATGCCTCCACAAAGAACACTGTATAACTTTATACTTCATAACTGTCAACATTTCTGTTGATGAACCTATTTAACTTTGTCTTTATAAATTTTTTCTATATAATGGGAATAAGTCACAAATAACCCCATAGAGAGTGATTGTAGGGACCTTTCAAAGAAGATGATTTAAATTAAAATACTTACCTTTCTCTGGTTTTACCAGCCACCACTCAGATGGATGCTGAGAAACTCTATGACTTCTCCTGACACTCACAGACACTTCTTCAGGCACAAATGTATTCCTGGATTCACCAGAAAAACATTTCTTTCCGGATTTTTTCCTATCTTTTGGGTTGCTATGCTGGTTTTTCTTGTTTTCTAATGTAAAGAAAACCCATAAAAACTATTCAAAATAACAGTTTTCTGAAGTTCACAACATATTTTAAATAAATAAAACTCAATTACAAAAAACATCTGAAGTTTTATCTCATGGGTGACTTTCACATCTATTTCTTTAAAAAGCCATGTGTTTTCAATTGGCTGATTTTCTGTCAATTACAAGTAAATGCTTCACACTGCTCGTCATAAACTAAAAGAGAAATATGTGTGTATGTGCATGCAGGCACATGCATACAGGTGCACATGTATGGAAAAAAGAGGAAACCTTAAATGTCATCTCTTCTTATTTATTTTTATTTTGTTTCATTTTATTGAGAGAGCTACTACCTAGAACTCACCAGTTAGGCTATGCTGACCAGCCACCAAGCCCCAAGGATTTGTCTATCTCTGCCTCCCCTGTACTGGTATTACAAAGGTATGAAACCACAACAGCTATATTTTTCTAACTTGGGTTTTGGGAATCAAAATCAGGTCACTCTGCTTGAAAGACAAGCACTGAGCTATCTCCCTAGTCTGAGTATCTTTTGAAAGACAAAACATTGTTTCTTTGTACTTACCACTACACAAAAATAAAACAGGTAATTACTGCCTTCCCTTTTAATTGTCTTGAAATCTAATTTTGGAAGAAGAAATTAGTATGACTAAACAATAAACCTTGAAATGAGATTACTTTTGATTAGCCCTATTAGCTCAAACATATATCCTTAAAATTTGGGATCAAATAGAACTTGGGATGATATCTGGAGAAGTAAGAAATCAGTGACAGAAGAAATGAAACATTGTTAACTTTGATGACAGAGAAGGTCCATCAGTTTAGGATTATGGGTAGTTCAAAAGGATAGAAAAAGTAAGAAGGGACCTATTACAGACACATGAGAAATAGAGCTAAACAAAAATGTTGTTTAAGCTACTAAATGCGTGGTAGTCGATAACAAAAATGGAAATTCACAATCAGTGTAGCAACACATCAAACCATTATTTATTAACCAGTCCTTACTCAAAAATATTTATAGATAAAAAAAAAATCTATGGCAATACTGGGTAGAGACTTATTTTCTGTTCTTCTTTCATCCCATATATACACACATATGCATCTGTCAATCTACATACCTCTCCCAAAAAATATAATGTTAGCATGGGAAATAGTTTCATTAACTTGTTTATAGTCTTTCACTTTCTCCATGTGTGTTTCTGCCTTAGGATCTATTTAAGTCATTTTTTTAAAAAGTGACTCTGCACTGAACTAAACCTGGAGAAATTCTCAAAAAGAACACCAAAAAGTCTTGTGAATCTTTGTAGGCAACTTTCCTTTGCCTATCTCCCAAAGCTAAGGAAGAAAATAACTACTATAAAATAATGCAAGAGTACTCACACTCTGAATTAATATAAACACTTACCAATAGGGGGCATCTGTTTCTTGGGAGTAGGCTCATTTCTCGAATCTTCACAGTCTTTCTTAGTTCTTTTTGAATTTACTTGTAACTTGTCTTGGCCAATATTTGACATATTCCTCTTTCCCTTTTTACCCTGTCCCACATTAAGCTTCTCTTCAACTACATTAGGCTTTGATACTCTTCTCTGCTTCTGTCTTACAGTCCTTTTGCATCCAGATGTTTTTTTGGCATTCTCAGAATGCATTTTATTTTCTGTAGATCTACAATCACTTTCTAATTCATCTGTACAACTAGTCCCGAGGATGTTTTCAACAGGGGGTTGAGATTTCCCTATTGAGGGAGATTTCTGAGGCTGTGAATCACTTATCACAGTTGTAGGTTTTTCTCTTAACTTCTTATCTTCAGGAGTTACAATGTTTTCAGAGGATGGCAAGTTGTGTCTCAGATGTCTGCCTTTTCTTGGTATTGTCACCAAAGGTTGACTGGCAAAATTTCTATCCGACTCATCAATAATAAATTCATCTTCTAATAATTTCGCTTCATTTGGAGGAGATGAAAGAGGAAGTGCTGCTGTATGCCTAACAATGGAACTGAAACAAAACATTATTTTAATAGTTAAAGTAACTAACGTTTCATCTTTGTTTAGTGAATAAAATAATCTATACAGGAAATAAAATCACATGTCTCCTCAATTTTCTCTTAATCCTTCCCTCCAATTTTATAATACTAAAATCACAGGAATTTAAAGCTGGGCATCTATTTTGATGCCCCTCAATCAATACACATGCTAAAACCTTGAAATTCACAACTGTATAATTATAAGCCAAACATATTTACTTACAATAGAAAGTGCATGCCATATCTATATAAGTTTGATTAAAATATTTGTACAGATATCTGCATTTGTATAGATTCTTCATATCAAAATTATTAATAATAGTACATATAATAAACCATCATATCTAACACTTTAAGAGAACAATAATAGCTGATTTTAAATGGCTTCTTACCCTTTTTATATCTGACATAATTCCATTCATAATAGCACCAAATACAAAGATGTTAAGTGAAGAAATATAATAATTATTCAAATAAATGAACTATGATACACAAAACTTCATAAGTTCTAACATCTCATGCTTATTTTCACACATATTTCAGGATTATAATAATGGCTCAGAATTAAGTTGACTTAGGATACCACAGACACAAGATATCCAGTGCTATGAAAACAGGGAAAGATGATTCTTATTACAAAGGAGACAATGCCACACAATCTGTTGTCGTGAGGTCAAATAATGTTATACTGTTACAGCCCTCTTTCCCCACACAGCTAACCCTAAGTTGTTTAGTAAGAAAGCATTATCATACTTGCATATACTCAGTTATAAAAGAATTATAAAATCACTAAAATATTCATAGAACGTATCTGTACATCTTAGACAATTCACACATTTAGTGATTGCTCTGTGTTTTCTGTTTGTATTATGGGTTTTGTTTTTGTCAATTTGGCATAAGCTACTGTTATCTAATAGGAAAACACAATTGGAAAAAAAAATGTCTCCATAAGATTGGCAAATGGAGCATTTCCTTAATAAGTGATTGATATGTAGGAAGGCCCAGTCCCTTAGGAGCAGTACCACTCCTAGGCAGGTAGTTCTGGATAGTCTAAGAAGCAGGCTAAGCAAGCCATCAGGGAGCAAACTAGGAAGCAGCACTTCTTCATGGTCAGTCTTACCCAGCTGTGAATCCTGAGTTACAATAATGGCTTCATAACAGGTTCAGTGGTACAATCATGGCATGAATCCCAGAAGTAACAAACACTTTTTGATTGGATTTATTCTCCGATTACACAAGACCAAACCCATACCAGGCAGCACTATTGGGGTTATAGGCCTTAGCGGACAACCTGCTACTATTATTCTCTAAATGGACATAGTATTAAACTAAGTCCTATATTGCTTTTTTGTTATGCCCATACATTAATGTATCTCTCAACCCTCATCAGAGAAGCTACTATTTGTAGTAGAAAAAAAGAGAGAGAGAAAGAAAGAGAGACCTATAAGTGGTCCAAGTACAGAGAATAAGATATCATGGATTGTCCTAAATGGGATATCTATATCACACTCCCTTCTCTCAAGTGATCAAATGATCATGAGATGATCTGTGGGAGAGAAGTGAAAAGAATATAAGAGCCAAAGGCAGCAGATGTCTACAAAGAAACAGTATCTTCCAGATAGAACAGGGTAGCTGTACATATGAACTCACAGTGGTTGTGACAGTATACATTAAGACCTGTGCAAACTCGGGCCGGGTGTTGGTGGCACACGCCTTTAATCCCAGCACTCGGGAGGCAGAGGCCAGCCTGGTCTCCAGAGTGAGTGCCAGGATAGGCTACAAAGCTACACAGAAAAACCCTGTCTTGAAAAACCAAAAAAAAAAAAAGACCTGTGCAAACTCATGCCAGCCAAGGTGGGCATAAGTCCCACACCTAACCAAGGAGCTACTGATAGCTGCTGGCAGAGAGATATTTGGTTTTCTTTAAGAATATAGCCCTAGTAAGTGAACCATGCTCCTGGGGAAAGGTCACACATCCAAGAATATATGCACAGCACAAAATGGACTTAACAGGTGTTAAAAAAGAAAATAAGAGGCCATAAAACTACATGGGTAGAAAAGGCATGAATCTGGCAAGATTTGGGGAGGAGTATAAATGGTGATGAGTATAAATGATCAAGACACATTGCACAAAATTCTAATAAAAATTTTATAATTCAATAAAAAAGAAAATAAAAAGACTTCTATATTAAAATTAAATAACATAGAACACCCAGATAAGGTTCACAGAATGAATCAAAAAAAAAAAAATCCAAAAGGATAGTTTTGTAATAACTTTACCTAGATTCATTTTTCCTCTTGACAGCTTCTAAATACAATGCTGAAAAACTCTTTTTAGATCGTTGTTGAATTTCATAGCTCAGATCTTGTCCTCTTTCCTGGAAAGTTCCTGATGATATCTCTTCTTGTCCTTCTGATATGTTATCCTCTACTTCTAATACACTGTTCACTATTTCTGCTTGGTTCAAAATACTTTTATCTTCAAAGTTTAGCCTGAGAGGTTAAAAAGGTAAGCCAAATTCTCCATAAGGTAAATTTTTACTTCTTACAAAGGTCTTAAAATAACAAAGTATCTTAAATAATCAAATTTTTGCATCCTAGAAAGGACCTAATACTCACCCTTGCAATCATAAATAATATGCAAGAAATATAAATTGTTTCTTTCAAGAAGTTAAAAATAATGGGGTGGAGAGAATGTAAGCAATGTACAATGATATATAAAGATGTCAGTGAAAATTATTGTTTTGTAAGATAACTAAAAATCTTAAGTAAACAAAGGACATTACAGAAAACTTACTATCACAAAGAAAACTTGGTCTTATTGTGTATGTGCATGCATGATGTATGTACACATGGCATATACATGGGCGTTTTAGAGGACAACTTGTGGAGTCTTTCCATCTTTATTTGGTTTCCAGAGATTGAACTACAGTTACCAGACTTATACACCAGTTGCCTTAATTTGCTGAGCCACCTCACCAGCCCCACAAAGAAAACATTTTTCTACAGACTATAGAAAAGTTAACCTCCAAATATCTCTGAAATAAACTTTAATGCCTTCCTTGCAACTAATTAAAAACTAAAGCTAAGCAAAATGCATTTTTAACCCCTTTCTTCAAATCTACATAAAAGGCTAAATTACCATTTGTAATTAATTATTATTACTCAAACAAAAATTACCTTTTCCTGGTTTTAAGAGAAATGTCTGTATTTGAAGATTTCTTATCTACTGAATTTCTTAAGACAGAAGTCACCCTCCTTTGTCCAAGAGATGAAATAACATTCTGCAATTCAGATGTTTTTGCATCCAAAAGAACCACAGGGGAGCCACGGGATAAGCAAAAGTTATCATTGGTGGCCCTGTGGTGACCATTTGTTTTTTCACTCGACATGCTGTTTGAGTCCACGGTACTTTTAGAAACATTATCAGTAGCCAGAATTTTCTGATGAACTTCATTAGCCTGAACTAAAAGAAAATTATATGATGACAGTTCTCAGTAGTTAAATAGTATTTAAATCAAATGTACTTTTAAAAATCAACCATATTTAGAATTAGAAGCTTTCAAGAAACACATAGTTCATTAAGTTTAGAATCAAAGATCTATAATTAAAATACCTAATTACTTTAAGAATTCTGATTTACCAAATTAGTGAAATGAACATGTACTTGGTCCACACCATCTGTGTTATGGAAATACAGAAATCCTCAAACACAGAAACTCCAAAATTTATGCCCAAAGTCTTGAGATGTAAAGCTTGTACACAGCTAAAATATGAAGAATACAGAAATTATGAGATTCTGCTATGGATAGACTAAGAGCGTGTAAGCTAATGTAGCTAGATGAACATACATACATATACAACATGCATACATATAACATGTGCATACAAGTATCTATATACATATAGAGTATATATACATATAAATACATATATATATATAGATAGATACTTACATAAAATCACCTTCAGTCCTCAAATGTCAAAGAAAAATTAGAAAATATTCATACTAACTTATTGTTCTTAAATACAAAGATCTAAAAAATTAAGTACAACAAAAAACAGCTTTTAGTTCAAAGGTAAGATGTCAGTTCTATGCTTCTCCCTTTTAATGCAACTAAATTCCTTAGAAATCATCCATCAACCAACAATAATAGGGCTCTGAAACCTAAGAGACACTAGGGTATCTACCTGGAAAACTGAAGACTTAAGGAACAATTCACAATATGGTCTCCTGGGTTTCCTGTTCACTTCCCATTTGTCCTTCAACTAGGTGACTGAGATGTCTGCAACCCAGAAACAACACTATGCAAAGGGAAAGGAAAGAACCCACATTCTCTCAAAATCATAGCAGAACACAAACTAGAGGGAAACTTGCTCTAGAACATGGGCCATGGGAGCTTTGTTCTGCCTATAGTGGCAAAGTAGCAAAGTGCTAGTTTGTACAATGGGACAAGGGTATTATGGAAGAGAAGTCAGATAATTGGTATGCATACATTTTCTACTATACCTTAGTTATCCTCTCACATATTTTACAGTGCCTTTCAAACTTTAGCATTTTTGAAAGGTAAATACATGTTGTAGAGGAAGAGAGAAAAATGATTATCAAAAAATTACACTGGGCGGTGGTAATGCAAGCCTTTAATAATCACACACTCAGGAGGCAGAGGTAGGCAGATCTCTGAGTTCAAGGCCAGTCTGATATACACAGCAAGTTCCAGAACAGGCTCCAAAGCTACACAGGGAAACCCTGTCTTGAAAAACAAACAAACAAACAAACAAACAAAACACAACAAAACAAAACAAATGTACTACACAAAGTCTATTCTACTTAGAATTTTAACTAAATAAAACTGAAAATTCAGAGAAAAATTTTGTGAATGATAGGCAAATAAATGAGAACACTGGGCTTTGAATCACACATACTCTAAACCTAGAGTGTAACATTATAGTGACACAGTAAAAACCAAATGAGGTCAAAGTTCAAAAGTGTATTAAATAAAATTGAGATTCAATATACCTAATCTGACACTAATCTTGTCACCTTACACATCGTGTGCACCACGTATGTCATTTCAGCTTTTAAACTGCCATGAGTGTGCTACCAACCTGATCCACAAGCAGCTTCACTTGGTTCTGCAGCAACCTTCAAAGTGCCTTTCTTCCTTGAAGAAACTGGTACTGATTCTGAATGTGATGCCTGGCATTGAGCACAAAAAAAATACATTTGATCTTCTTTATTATACTGTCAATTGTGATTAGATGCACACTTTTAAAATTGGAGGAAAGTTTTAAACAACAAAGCACTGGTAGTAATACTAAAGAACTACTGAACAGAGAGGAAATAAACAAACTATGGAACATCATATAATATCTCTAAAAGTTACAACACCAGAGTTAACACAAACCACAAATGATTACATTAACAAAAAAAGCAAGTTCATGAAAATCCATAGTGATACCATTAAGGTAAAGTTCAAAAATATAGAAGAAAGTATAAAACAATACAATATTTCAGAATTCACTCTATGTAATAAAGTGTTAACACAGCATACCTAATCATTTAAAGGGCTAGCCATTGCCAGGAACCTACAGACTGAGTTGTATAATGCTTCTTCTTTAACAAGTGGTAAGCTTGAACCTGTTGTGATAACCTGCCCTAGCTATTTTACAAAACATGATTATGGTGAACAGTTGTTTTGTTTCCTCCTAGGATTATAATGTTTGATAGACAGGGAATGTCCATGGAAGCAGAATCCAATAAAAATGGACTTAGTTTCAAAAGACTTTCCTGGAGAGAAATAACATATGCAGTATTTCACTGATGGTACACTACGTGATGGGTATCTGTGTACATATGCATATTACTCTTCAAATCTAACATTCATGGCTCCTTGGATAATATAGGAGCCTGTATATGGATATCTAGACTTGATGTCCTCTCCCCTTATGAAGCTAGCTACCTGTCCTACCTGCATAGCAGTAATAAAACTCAAATTTTATTCTAGTATATTTTTAGGGTTTGTTTTATTGAGCTGGAGAGATAGCTCAGCAGTTAAGAGCTCACAGTGCTTTCCGAAGGACCCCATTCGCAGCATCTACATCACGTGATTCACAAGCACCTGTAACTCCAGCTCTAAGAGGAACCCACACCTTGCCTCTTTCAAGTAGCTATATTCACATACATAAATACACATAATTAAAAGTAACAAAAAACGTTTTAAGATTTTATCTTATTTACACATATGACTGTGTGAATGTGCATGTTACATGTATGCTGATAGTATGGAAGTCAGAGAGTGTGTCAGACCTCCTGGAGCTTGAGTTAGGCAGCTTTGAGCCAACAACTTGGGTGCTAGAATTGAACTCAGATCCTTTGGGAAGAGCAACAGTGCTCTTACACCACTAAGCCATCTCTCAAATCCCCCAAATTACATTTCTTATGTGAAGCTGACAGCTAACTTTGTAGGTTAGAAAGTCCCAATCTGGATAAAATAATTTAGCATATACAAAATCTCTACTGTTTTGAAATATCTCTTACAGAAGACAAAATACACATACACATATATGAATAAAAACTAACACAGGAGAAATTATATAAGGGAAAAATAATGAGACTAATAACAAGTGTAAGAAGGAATCAACAAAACTAAACTTCCTTTTGCCAAAAGACCAAAGTGGCAGTCCTGCCACACTAATGAAGAAAAATACTAAAGTAAAAATGCCAATGTCAAAAATGTAAAAGAGGACATTACAGACCCTAAAAACAAAGTTTTAGAAAATCATTAACAACTTTGTTAATAAATTTGAAAATGACAAAACAAAAAAGAAAACCTCAATTGTCTACCACAACTACCTATAATAGAATCTCAGCCCTTCATAATGTATATCTTGATCTAGATCATGGTTATAAAAATTCACCAAAATGTGCATTTAAATCAGGCAAGCTAGTATACAACTATAAACACAATACTTAAGAGAAAAAGAAGGATCTGGAGTTCAAGGGCATTCTTGGATACACAGCAAATTCAAGGTCAGCCCTTGTTTCAGAAGTTTTTTAAAGTCAGGCACAATGGTATGCATCTAAGCCAGGCACAATGGTACACATCTGTGATCCCAGCACTCAGGAAACTGAGGCAAGAGGCTCATATTCAAGTTCAAGTGAGACAGGGTCTCAAATTAGTTAATTATTACATACATACATACATACATACATACATACATACATACATACATACATACCGAGGCCAGAAAAAGATCCATCTGAGACTGGGGAGAAATACTCCTCTCAGCCAAACAGAAGATAGATTAATGACCATACCACCTACCAGCCAGAGAAGAAAACCTCTCTGAGTCAGTAGACATACAAGAACCTTTTTCTCCCTCAGAAGTGAAGAAAGTTAGCTGCAGATTATATATTGCTAAACCTGTCTTCATTATCTTTTAAAGCTCTAATTTGTTTACATTTTATGCTTAACTAGTTGTCACAGTAGAGTGTTGCTGGACTGCTGTAACATACTTCATTCTGCCTAGAAAAGGAACCTCAAAAGTTAAGACCTATAAAAACATTTTAAGGAGGGGAGAGGGGAGAACAATATTTGTGAATATGGATGCAAACATCTCAAATATCAAACTAAATTTAGGGGAAAAATCAATTCATTATACACATATAAAAAACTGTCAAAGTAAAAACTTATTTCTTAAGAATTTAATGATCAAGTCAAGTTCCCAGGAAATTTAAAGTTGATTTTAATTTTCAAAGATCAATGTGATTTCTCATATTATAAAAGGTCTGTCAAATTCTGAAAGATCTGGTTGTCTTCATTCCTTAAAGCAAAGATAATCTATACAGATAATGCATTCAGGATCGTGAGCGCAAAGCCAGCCTGGGCAGTATAGCTAAGTTCCAGGTCAGCTTGTAGTAGAACACTGTTTATCGGTTTTTAACGAACTTTACTTCTATGAGCTTTCTAATTAGTACTATATTTCCAAATAGCATGTCTTGGGCCACTAACTTCAAACCCATTACCACTAGGAGTATAACTCAGTGATTCAACACTGTGTTTGGCATGTGCAAGGCCCTGGGTTCAAATACAGTACTTGAAAAAAAAAAAAATCTAACTAAAACTATACTACTTTTGGATAATAAATCAACCTACCCTTCAAAGCACACAGTCAACCAAAAGCAGTTTTTGAGGCCAGGAACCAGTCCCATCAGTCTTCTGAAAACAACCACATTTGTCAATCTTTAAACTTTAAAGCTACCCATTTCCCTAGAACTCTTAAGTATTAGTTTAGAAGAAACAAAAAGGATTACTATAAATTTTGTATATTCCCAATGTCAAATACTAGAAACATCAAACCAAAATTTTATAATACCTCCAAGTTTTATGAAAGCAAGAGAAGCATAGGATTCTTTTTAAAGAATAAGGCAATTAAAATATACATAAGAAGACTGCTTAAACATCATTCATTAAAGTACCAAACCTCCATCAGTTCTCCTGTTAGACTTACCTCTTTGCCTGCTGACTGATTACAATTATCTTTTGCTTTAGGAGTGGTACAAAGCAATGACTCTGTAGAATCTGTAATAAAAACCATTGACAAGACTTAAAACATATTAAATGTATTAAAAACCCAACGGGGTAAAGTGGAATACAACTTTTAAAATCTCAGCAGAGGCAGGCAGATCTCTGTTAATTCAAGGCTAGCCTGATCAACATACTGAGACTCTCTTGAAAGAAATATTCTAACTGAATGGCTCTGTATCAGTGGCTCTCAACCTGTGGGTTATAACTCCTTGGGGGGTCAACTAACCCTTTCATAGGGGTCACCTATGACCATTGAAAAACATAGATATTTACAATATGGTTCATATTTACAGTTATGAAGTAGCAACAAAAATAATTTTTATGGTAGGACATCATCACATCCTGAGGAACTATATTAAAGGGAAGGTTGAGGACCATTGCTCTATATGACCTGTGAAGAACTGTCAGTTGACTCTTCAAAATACAACTAGCCTAAAGAAATAGAGATATCAATGTAATATTCAAGTGTTCCTACAAACACTAGAAACAGAAAAGCAAACAAAATTCCTAAGGGGGAAGGGGGAACTCAGTTCTTTCAGTCTGTAATGCAGATATTTTTTCTGCTATCTTACTTTTTGTGCTAACAGAATACCTAAGACTGAATTAGGGATGCAGCTCAGTGATAGAGTGCTTGCCTAACAACCACAAAACCCAGATCTGCAAAATAAATACAGGAAACTGAATGATTTTAAAAACACAGAGATTTCAGAGATTTTGTATCAAGATTTTATAGCAAGAGTCATTTATTTCTCCCAAGCAAGTTAAGAAACAGATCTGACATAGCTCCCAAGACCTTTTACATGGTTGGCTTAAATTCATTCATGAGGACAAAAACCTTATGATCTAACCACACCGCAAAAGTCTCATCTCTAAACACTGTTACAGCATTGGAAATCAATGTTCCAACCCATATTTTGGGAGATGACATTAGACAAAAACATCTAGCATCTCTCTACTCATCTACTCATGTTCAGCCTCAGAACGTTTTTTGCCCTAATTCACCACTTTGTAATAAACAAATGTAAATTACCAAAATTACTTCAAATGCAAATGATCCCTTATACTTTCTCCCTTATAAAAATGCTTGGATCTATAATTATCTAATTCCATATTTTAGGCAGATTTTAGAATATTTACACATGCATCTCAAGATTTTTCTTGAGTCTAAACACAAATTTACTTACATTTCACATGCACTTTATACACAAAGACTAAAGGTAATTCTGTGCATAAAATAAGGTTTCATAGAACTTTCCATTTGTGGCATGATATTCATATCCAAACTTCTAGATTTCCAAATATTTATGATTTTAGATTTTCACATTAAGGAAATATATTCTTTTGTGCAAAGTATTGATCTATAGAGTTCCAGATTATAGGAATCCAGTGTGAATTAAAGATGACATATTACTGTGGCTGTATCAGTAATATTCAACATTCTCCTCAATATACTAAAAGGTACAAGAAGGATTGGTTATGTATACTCAAAGTTAAGAAGAAATTGCTCTATATATTTAAATGCTAGAACATATCTGCTACATTAGACATTTGTGATAGATTTCTATTTTCATCTATACCAATTCTGAAAGTTCATCTAGAAATGAAGCCTTACTTTGTTCTTCAAAACAGTCTTGTAAGATTTCCAGCACATTCTGGCCTTGTCTTGTATTAATGTTGGGGGCTCTAGTAAAAAAAAAAAAATAAAGTAAATATATAACTTCTGTAAGATGTTTTTTACTTATGTTATTGTCCATTTGAAACTCCCACACAAAATGTTAACTTTAAATAGGAAAAATTATCTCTACTATTTAAACACTTGATAGTCTGAGTCCATCAAACATTCCATTTGTATGTAATATTAAGAGAAGTTATTTTATTATCTACACATGTCTACTCAAATTTCAGTATCTGTATCTAAAATTGGTTCAGACAACTACTATATTTGAATTTGAATACCAATTCTGGTTTTTGAAGAAACTCAATTAGTCGTGAAATGTTTTCCTTTTGTTTTGGGAAGTAAACCCAGGACTTCTAGCACTACAGGCCAACTTGTCTACCACTGAAATATTTTACAGGCACTAAACGCAATGAAGATTTTATAGACACCAATCTCAACATCTCCAACTAACATTGTCTTCTCTACAACTTTTCAAGTGCACTTTGCGGTTATGCAGCTCTACAGAGGGTTAATATACTTTTGCTTAAAATTACACTAAACTTTTAATGTTTCATTAATATCAAAAACACACAAATTCCATATAACTTCTTACATGGCTGGCTGCATTTAATAGCTAAATTAGATATAAACCTTTTATGATATAATCTGTTTATTATCTTATTATATTTTTATTATCTTATTATATTTATATCTTATATAATATATATATATCTTATATAATATATATATCTTATATATATATATTATATATAATATATATATAAGATATATAATTATATATATCTTATATAATATATACTTTATTATCTTATTATAATTAATATTTTTATTCATTAAGTAATTTTACTTAATAGCTAAATTAGATATAAACCTTTTATGACATAAACTGTTACTTTATTATCTTATTATAATTAATATTTTTATTCATTAAGTAATTTTACTGGTAGTACAGAAAGAAAATCTTTCACACAAAATGCAAGCTCTTTATGATAAAAAAAACTTAATAAGTATACTTCACTACTTATAGTAATAAGTATATTTCACTAATATTACCATTCAATGCTAATAATTCAGTGTTCAATTCTTCTTGTTCACAATTCTATATAAGTATTTTTTCTTACTTCCACTGTCATTACATGACTTGTGCTAATATTTCTCTCTTATATAAAATAATTAAAAGACTAAACAATCAGTATGCATAGAAATCAATCTGCAAAAGGTAACAGATTTTTCTATCTTAAAAAAAAACCCACTTTCTGAAGATGAAAATAAATCATTTTAAAAGTTCAAGTCTAAACATGCTACCTGGAAGGCCGGCAAAATCTTCTGCGGTAATTTTTCAAATGATCCTGAAAGAAAAGTTAACTATCAATTTTTTAAACCATAATCAAATAAAACTCATCTTCAAAATATTTCCAATTCAATACCAGTTTAACAAAAGAACATGTTTTTCAATTTATTCATTTAACAAGTATCTGTTAGTTGTTCAATATAATACTATAAAGAGTTCTAAAAACAGGCAAAATGGCTAGCTAGGAGCTTGCCACCCACAAAACAAGTTTGATGACATGAGTTTGATCCTTGAACCCAAGTTAAGTAAGAAAAAATTAACTGACTCCAAGAAGTCCCTGATATTCACATGTCATATAAGTACACATACACACAAAATGAAATAGGAAGACATAAAGCAATAATGGAATGAAATAGAAAACCACGTGCAAAAAAGACCAATGATTTTCTGAAAGATGGAAATAGATAAGGCATTATAAGTAATGAAATATAACAAAAGCAGTAGCAACCTAAAGATCAGATATTATATATTAATATACTTTACTGGATATACATTATATCCTTATTATATGTGATATTAATATATAATATCCTTCATTGACTAGATTAATATAATATATATTAATATACTTTATTGAGGATATCCTCAATGAAGGAGACCAATCTGCTTAAGAGAAAGTCACAGAGATGCAGACAAGGAACTTCAGATAAAACAAAGGGAATAAGACAAGCAAATAGTAATAGAGCAATCCCAGAAATTTGATGAGGCTAAAGCTGGAGGATTTCAACTTTAACATCAACCTGGGTTGTGCTAAATAGTGAGACTCTGTCTCAATAAATGTGGGCAGAAGAGATTAAAGGAAAGCACAGTATAAACTGGCATGATATGGTTAAGAGGAAGGTTTTTGTTGTAGATGTGAGTTAAAACAGCCAGAAGCCTCTGGAAGAGCACAAAACATTAAAAGAAAGCAGCAGACTATACATGGTCAGCAGACTGGACCTGTTGAAGGCTAAATAGAAGAGAGTAGAACAGCAAGGGATAGACAATAGAGAAAGCATAGTGAGAGATCCAGGAGCAGGGCACAGATAGAGACAAAAACATTGAGGATGGCAGGGTTATGGGGAGAATGAGTATCTGTGGGGAGGGAAGCTTATAAGATGGAGGGAGTTTAGGATAGAAAAGGTGGTAAGAAGTCCTGGGATACTAACATGCTTGTGATCCTGAGGGAGACTGGAGGCCAGAATAAGCTGATATACTGACAGGTACCACAGGTAGCCATATATCCCTTACCATAAAGGAAATGACTCCTTTTGATAGAGAGGAACCACCTTCACAAGTTCCTGAGGAATGCTGACTTTTATCTAACTGCCAGAAATCCTCCTATAGTCCTAGTTGAGCTCAGTTCTGGAAATGTGGACTGCTTTTTGGAATTTGAGGAATTGGGAGTTTCCTTTGGACCTAACAAGCATATTCATAGGACAGTTGACCTTACAAAAAGCATATCTTACAAAAAGTATGGTTGTCTAAGTCTCAAATATGACCAACATCTGTAGATTACTGGACATTTAAGTCTCTAAAGCAGAAACAGAAAATCAAGATATAAATTTTTAAATTTAATTTTCTCTTGGGACATTTTACAAAGACAAAAATGAAGAAAATCTAAAAATAAGAAAACTAATACTTTCAAAAAATAACTGAAATGCAGAACTCTTAAAACTAAAATAGAGCTTGCTATGGTAGCCTGTGCAAGAGGACTGTAAATTTGAGGTCACCTGAGCCACATAGCAAAACCCTCTCTCTTAAATAATAAAAATAAAAATCTAAGGTTATATATTATCTACAATAAGCAGACAGCAAGAATTCTTAATAATGAAAAACAAAATTGCCTAAAATTAAGATGATTTTAAAAATGAAACTAACTGTACCTCCCACAAAATGGCAGGAATTGGGAATAAAAAATAAAGTAGCATAAAATGGTGATATGGCCTTCGGACTATAGTAGAACTATAAAGGAAACCCTTCTAGTTGGATTCTGTAAGATGATGACTAGCACTGTCAACACCAGTTGTTTACCTAGCCCCACTTTTATTCAATCCAATGTTATAGAAATAATAGCAAAATATTCTACTTGTTCTAGGCTAATTTGTATGTTAGCTGCACCAGCTCTGAAAGCCACAATTTTTGAAGAAATATTTAGCTTCCTTAGTTTTAATTTAGAAAGCAGGAATGAATTGGATGCCACATGTAGTCCTTGTTTTGGGGAAGCTGCTGTCCTTCAGCCTGTAAGACAAGGGAGAGAATGTATGTGTGTTCTGTTCACCTGTATTTCTCTGTATCTGAGTTCAGATCCATACAATTACAATCTAAAAATCACAGGATCCACTCTGTTGTAGAATATTAAAGATGTGTTTAAGCTGTGGAACATTTGTTTAATGACGAAAAGATGTCATATTCTTTTATGTTGCATTTGTGATGCTGTGTTAATTTACCTGTGTAAAACACCTTATTGGTCTAATAAAGAGCTGAACAGCCATTAGCAAGGCAGGAGAAATGATAGGAGGGGCTGGTAGGCAGAAAGAATAAATAGGAAAAGAAATCAGGTTAGAGGGAATTGAGGAGTGAGAAAAGAAGGGGCTAGCCACCCAGCCATCCACAGAATAAGAAGAAAAGAACATATATTTTATATATATATATATATATATATATATATATATATATAGAGAGAGAGAGAGAGAGAGAGGGAGAGAGA